TGATAGGAAATGATGGATCCTACCACCTTGTAAGGGACTGGACTGCATTTTTTTCACATCCTATCTGGTACTACTACAGTTCTGGGATTTCCTAATTTTTAAAGATCATAACAATTTCTTGTTTTTAAACTGGCATGCCAGGTTAAGTTAGTCACTTGGCTGCCTACAGCCCAATCTCAAGTATGGAGGCTTTCTTGCTTTTAAATCAGGTTGGCCAGGATTTCTACAAGATACAATTGCATCCAGGATATGAAAATACATGCGCTTGAATGGTGAATCTCTGAGCCTTAGCGGAGCTGCCTTTTGCTCTGTGAGAGACCGTTGCCATGGCTACACCTGGGTGCAAATAGTTTCCTCATCAAAGTGCCTGCTTCTGCTGCCAGAGTCACTCCTGTGCACTCAGTAGAGATCACAGATGAGGGGCAAGCTCGGGACAGCATCTTGGCAGGAGCAAGGTGGCAGCATCAGCATCAAATAATAGCATCAAAATAGCCTTGTAATTTGAAGTGGAGGTGGGTGAAGGAAAAGCGGTGGTGTGTGTGTGTGAGAGAGAGTGTATCAGGCCAAGGTTCCTGATAGATCTGTCAAAATGCAAAGGTGCTATTTTCTGCTTGAGAACAATGCAGCTGGCAAAAATGCACTGGGCTGGAATTTAGGAAAGAAACCTGGCTTCAGCTCCTAGATTCTTTCTTTCTCTCCCTCCCTCCTCCGCCCCGCCATTCTTTTGCCCTTCTGGGTGAATCAATCTTCCGATGAAGCAAGTCAATTTCCCTGTTTCCTCACCCCTAAAATGGGAATAATGGCCTTTTCCCCAGGTGTGCCAAGCATTTTGCAATTTATCAGATAAAACTGCCATATGTGTTATAAGCATTGTTGTTAGTTGAACTTGCTGTAGGAAGTGGTCTTGCACTAGGCAGGCTGCAGGGGCGTGTCTAATGTATGCCAAACTTGCAAAAAAATGTGTTTTTTAAAACGACCAGTGTGTATTTTTAATTAATTAGACAGGATTACTTGAATTTGCAAGTTTTACATTTGCATATGGTAATAATAATAATAATAATAATAATAATAATAATAATAATAAAAAATTCCAGACCACACATTCAGAGAAGCAGCAAAAGTAATAGTGGGTTCTGCCATACTTTCATTTCTGCTTCCAGTGGAAAATGACACTCATGGAACTCTTTCTGCAGTGAGATCCATGGGTTTCAGTCCCAGATGATCATGAGGATGGGAGATCAATGAGTCCCACTGTCACATGTGCTGAAAGTGTTTTTAAAAGGCAGCATTTCTTCTTTACATTCACTTCTTCTTTAAATATATGACTGCTTGAGTTTCAAATCTGGCATCCAAGTTTTATGAATACAGTTTCATTAGGGGGATGATGATGAATGATTGATTAGTAGATCAGTGCACATAAGTACTGTGTTGTATATGCTCAAATTTAATATCCCAAAACAATGTTGAAACTTCAGTATAAAATTTCAGTTAGTTTCCCAGTACTCGCAGGAAGTTTCCTTATGAAATATTCAGTGGGCTGGATCTAAGAGGGACTCCTTTCCATTTGTGGAAGGGATATGAATCCAGTAGAAGGTGTTGCAAATGAAAGTGCATGGTGGGGTGTGGATGTGATTTTTGCCAATAGCCTTACCTCTAGGCCAGCTCCCATACTATTTCAGAAGGTCTTCCCAACACTCTGGAACACTCTGGGGAGGTGACAGGGGGAAAGATAACCTGACACCAGAAAGTACCCCATGAGTCAAACACTGGATCCAACCAAATGGCTTTCTTGCTGATATTTAGGTACTCTGTTACCCACCCCCGTCAACTAGTGCTGAAGAACTGATGTTCTAAAACTCTGAATGTGCAAATCTTGTTGAATTAGATTGAGGTCTAGCAGTAGCACACACTGACCCTTTCACATCAGAACATACACTTTCCTGGCTTTGGTATCAACTAAGGCTGGACCTTAACTGAACTGTGAGTTTCGGTTTTCACAAAGGAACGTGCACACACAACAAGGTAGAAATAATGATGTTAGATGAGAGCTTTATCCCCATGATTTGCCAAGATTTCACTGGCTTGTCTTTCTTGTTTTGTTTTCCAGTGCATGTGCATGCTCTTTAAATGTTACTGATCAGACAAAATAAACTAGTGGTGGAAGGTGAGAGACTTTTTTGTGTGTAATGTATGAAGCTAGCGAGACCACTTCCAGTCAACCTCTTTATTGAACATTCATCCTGATAGGTTTGCACAAAGCTTGCAGGGAGGTGAGCCGATGTTGCCTATTTATTGGCCATTCATTCTAATTTCTTTGCAGGGAGGGTAGAGGATGTTACATCAAGCAGATATTGTCCCACACTTTCTAGGACATTTCCCCTATCAATTTCTTTGTTACAAAAAGTCCAGGGTTTTCTTGGGTGGTAGGATGGGGAGAGTCTGTAGCAGAAGACCTGCAAATCAACTTTAACTGCATTACCTGTATTTACTGGTATGTATCCCACTGGTGGAAACACACCTAAAAATACTTTCCAGAAATGCTCTGAGTCTTGGGGGACTCAATGAGACACTATAAAGAACCCAAGCTGGCCACCAACAAGGACAAAAAGAACAGAGAGAAAACTTATGAGATGCATATGAATGCCTTTCAAGCTGTTTAGTTTTGCACGGCAGAGTTCTGAGGTCATCATGAATTTATGTTCAATTCTGTTGTTATTAATTGTGGATTTTTAATATGAAATTGCAGCCGATTCCCTTATTAAAGTGGCTTTCTGCTGCCGGAGACTCTGTGTCTTAACGAAAACCCTGAAAATCTCCCCCTGAGCTGCAATGTGGAAATCCAATTCTTTGTAGCTGATGATTCTGCAAACACATTTCCTGGAATTCATGAAAGCCTTAAAAAGCCTCACAATCATTTGAATAAAGCAAAGGACCATTTGCTGGCAAATATTCTCTTTTGCATATTCAAAAGTCCAATCTCTATTCTGTGGCAGCATCCTTTCAAATGAATAAGACCATCAAGAGCCAAAGTAGCAGCACTGGGGATTTAGCCAAACAGCTTTCATTAAAATGAACCACATACATTTTGGTGTGTGAGAGAGATGCTATGTCTTTGGTTGTCATTTACATTATAGACAGAATAGGGTGTGCCGGATGGTTTTCAGATAGGACCTTGCTATTGTATCTCATCTCTTATTGGGCCAGACTTGGGGCAGCAGGGAAGATCTTCAGGAGGGTTTTAACTGGATCTCATTGCCCTTACCAAGAAATCAGGCAGCTAACTTGTGCTTCCCCAGAATTTAAACTAGGGGTGGGGAACTGGATCCAGCCTATGGGCCAGATCCATATCTCTCCCCCAAGGCCAAGTTTTCCATTGTGGCAAGATCACCGACCTGTATCATTATTATTATTATTATTATTATTATTATTATTATTATTATGAGACTGCTTCACAGCATAAAGCCATCAACACAACATAGATCAAAACAGAACAGAGAAACAGAAGCTCTAAAAACAATAAAATCAATTCAACAAACTCTGAAAGCACTAAAACCATCCCTATAAACTTCAGAAACAGAACATAACTCTTCAGCCCTACTAGCTGCTATCTTGCCTAAATTGATTCTTTATGCATATCAATTGTATGCACCTGTGTGCTGCCATTTTCTGTGCTGGCCCATCTGAGAGGGAGGAGGCTAGTGCTGAGGTGCACTGAATGACCCCAAGACTATTAAATGTTTGCAATATGTATACCTATTGAAGGAAGCTATTCGTCTTGGGCACCATTTGGGTAGCTCCTGCCATTTTAAGAATAAGCAAACATCAAGCAAGACTTGCCCAGGAAGTAAATATCCCTTTCCAAATGAAGAAGCGATTAACAGCCAGATTTGTTCAGCCTTAATTTCGCAGCAGCTTGAGCGCCAGCAGATTGGCTGGTTCTGCCTCTTTGGCATCATTGCGAGATGGCGTATCTCATGGTGTTTTAAATGGGGATGGAGCAGCATTTCTGATCTCATTTTCCAGTATTTCAGCTGTGCCATAATCTATTTACCACACAATTTGTGTCACTTTGATAAGCGGCTGCTTCAAGACGGCATTTATTAAAATCAAGAGCAGGGACAGCTTTCAAGTCTCTCATGTGTTGTAATAAATGTTTGAAATTAGTTATTACAGTGTTTGGCATGGTTCATATCATCTACTCTATCTTAAATGACAAATGATCATATCCTGGACATGCATTTTTGGGTGTGTGTGGACAAGCGATCATACCACAGACACTGTGTGTGTGTGTGTCAGAGTTGCTTGGGAGGGAGATGAGTGATGAGAAGAATCAAACTCTGCTAGCCCTACAAATTGGCAATGGTTTTCTGGGGGGGGGGAGGAAAGGTGAGTTAAAAATCAATTGGAACTGTGAAACAAGACCATTAGCATCAGCTCAGGAAAACAGTTCAGTCCAAGGAAACAATAGCTTGGCTTTAACTTCCATGGCTAAAAATGAAATTAAAATTGACCCAAAACAGGCTTGAAGGCTTAGAAAGAAGAGCTTTTTTAAAAAAAAAAAAAGTGGGCCTCTCTATGGTCCATAAATATCTTCTATGGTGGCGGGTTCAAATGTTAACTTTTGGGAGAAGTCCAGCATTGTGAGCACTGTGAGAACTGCATATACCTTTTCATACCTCCACAAATTATGATGTAAATTCATAATGCAGAGATTTGAGCCCCATACAGATCTGTTTGCTCTAGAAAACCTTTTGGTATATGTATCAGATCACAGCTGAGATTCCATGTATTATTAGTGATTCAAATTTTACATTTTGTTTCTAGGTATGAGGCATAAAGTAATATTAGGATTTCATTTTGGTGGAAAATAGCTCCCGCATACCAAACAAGTAGTAAATCCTCCACTCCTTTTAATGCATTATTTGCTGCTTTTGTTTGTTGATGTGCTTGCCAATGTTTGAATATCTCCTTAAATGTATATTCTTGTGTGTATATAATTTTATATGTATGGGTGTGTGCGTGTGTGTGTGTACACACATACATATACATACACACACACATACAGATGTATTAAACACACACACACTATAGAAAAGAGACACTTATTAAGACAAATATTCTGTCTCAATTCATTTCTTTCTTCATTTTCCCATCAGGAACATAATAGCTAAATTTATAGTGTTGAGTCTGGGCTATAAATTCTATTATTTTCAGTCACAATATCCATTATGTCTCTTGAAAGGGCCCCCAGGGCAGGGGGAGAAAAATCTGAGACAAAAAAAATATATATTTGAAAGAGATGTGGGGGGAAATGCCGTTCCTTTAGTTTGGTGTGTACCTTTGTGCATTCTTGCTGATACTCTTACCCTAGCTTAATCCATCTGCCTAGTTTCTTGATCACTGGTTGTTGCAATCACATCCATCCCAGTATAACTGACAACTCATCTGTGATGGAAGTATTTAATTATGAGATAATTTATTGCACCTCTACAAACCCAGGTATCAGGCAGGAAAAAATGAACTGTAAGAATGGTGATTTGGAAGGTGGAGATGCATACATTCTGAAAATGTCAGACTGGAACCTTTTTCTGCCGTCAGAGTGCTGTCGGGAGACCCAGGGACCATTTGGTTTGAGGTTGAGATATAGCATAGCAGCCAGTTATCCAAAGTGGTGTATCCTTAGACCTCACACAGTCCCTTTGTCTGGCACAGAAAAGAAGGGTAATGGCTTAGCGAAACTTACCTTTCCTCTGGTCTTTCCAGACATGGTCCATGCTTTAAAGCAGGCATAGGCAAACTCGGCCCTCCAGATGTGTTGGGACTACAATTCCCATCCTCCCTGACCACTGGTCCTGTTAGCTAGGGATGGTGGGAGTTGTAGTCTCAAATCATCTGGTGGGCTGAGTTTGCCTATGCCTGCTTTAAAGCTCTGTGTCTGAATGCCCTTCTTTGTGCTGAAGCTTTCACTACAAAACCCACTCTTTGGTGCTTAGTTGAAACAAATAGTGATCCACAGAAAACCTAAGTTGATGTTTGCTCTGATTGAGCTCTAAAGAGTGGATTTCCATGGGGAAAGCTCCAGGGCAAAACAAAACAAAACAAAAATATGCTTGGACTTTTTTAAAAGTGTGAACCTGTGCCTGGAAAGAGCAGGGCAAAAGGTAAGTGTGGATAAGCCCTTAGTGTAGCATTGTGTGATTGGAAAGCTAGGTAAGGTCTCTGACTTGGTCATGCCCATTATAATATCTGACCCTCTGCATTGCATGGTCAGCAGACCCCGTGCCATGCAGACCCAGCACTTGACTGCAGAGACTAGAGGAAGGAGAATGTCATCTCTGGGTCTTAGGCCAGGCATGCATGCTTTCAGACTAGTCCTGACCATCTCTAAATGAGAGTATAGAAATGTACAGCTCATTAAGTTCCTGGTCCGGGCATGAATGGGCCTCTTGAACTCCTAAAGAAAAACAAGTATTGACCATTTGGTGTGAGCTCATCATGTTGATTGTCTTCTCCATTTATGGCCCTAACTGGCCCATAGCACATACTGTATTTGCATAGATGTATAGAGAGTGCCTCTGGGCAGCTTAAGATGGTGAGTGGTCTCACTGGCACTGCACACCCAGCTGCCTTGAAAGGAAAGTTGGGGTTATTTTTAAAGTGACTTTGGGAAAGGCAGTAGACCTGGGGCCTGGTGCAATAAACTCAGTGAATGACCCTGGGCCACTCCCTAAGAACTCCCCTGGTCACTAATGTTTCAGAGGAAAGAAGTGGAGCTCTGCATCCACGTGTATGGTAGTCACTTTAAATTGGATCACCCAGAGGCTGCCTCTGCGATTCTAGTCATTTGTCTGCAGGGTCAGCGCTGTGGTCTCCCTGCACACACTGGCTTCCTCCCTGCTCCTGCACCTTCTTCCTCCCATGCTTGTTGCAGCACTGCAGACATGCTCAGTCTCTCCAGGTCCTCACACCTAAAAATGCCTCCCTCTGGCAAAGAAAACTGGATCAAGGAGTTGTGGATGAGGTGGCCCTGTAGAGTGCCATCTCCACTGCCATGTTGCCATAGTGGTAGGGTGTGCCAGGTATGCCCAAGCACACCCTAATGTTTGGGTTATTCTTAAAGGGGGGTCGTGTAGGGAAGCTGAATGGAGAAGCAGTGGTGAGGCAGAAGGGAGCAGGAGGGAAGCAGACAGAGAGAGATGCAGGCAGAATAAAAAGGCTGGTATGGATCTGCAGTTTCTGCCTGTGTCTGTCCCTGGAAGCAGTGGTAGGGTGAATGGCTCCAACAGTGACAGTGAGGGAAGAGGAGGGAGTCATTCTCTGGGCAAGGAAGATGAAGAAATCTGTTTTGGTCAATTTGGGTTACTTCATCTGGCTAAAGATAATGAAAATAGACTGAATCTTTGTATATGCCTCATTATCACTATGGCAAAAATAATAATTTAAAAATTATGCGTCTCATTTTTTAAATTTGCCTTTTTTTTAAAAAAGTAAAATTTAGTTGTTAGTTTAAAAAGTTTAGTTACGTTTTAGTTTCTTTAGTTTATTTAATGAATAAAACTAATGTCCTTTATGACTATGAGTATGCAGGTTATCCTTTTTAAAAAAAAATCTCTGGGTGTATGGCCTAATGAAATGTGCTGCACTTGCCTGTGGTAGAAAATACTATATTTACAGTAGTAACCTTTATTACTATAGCTACTATTACTTTAAGCAGTATTTGACTCAGCATAGGGGCCGTGGTGCAGACACTCCTTGGGACCACCACTTCCAGGATACCTCATGCTGATGAAGGACGTTTGCTCAGAGCAAAGTATGGGTGTCCAGGTGACACCAGAGAGCTCTCTAGGATCCTGCTGACCTCTTTGCCACAGCAGCAAAGGGGAAGAAGCACTCCTAGTATTAAATGGCGAGTGACTGGGCCAGGGGAGTACAGTATACACAAATCGGCTGCTCTTTCACTGTGCCACCTGGACAAAGGTCTCAGTGTGATTAATGGTTGGGCCGGCCCTGCCGCAGTGGCCCACTATGGAGAGAAGTTGGCCACAAGAAACCCACGTCTACAGAGAGGAGAGTATCATGGCATCATAACAAAAGGTGTATTTCACTTACTTTTGTACAGGTATACACGACAGAATGTCCATTCTTTACTGAAGAAGTCAGCCAGTTTTCTACTTCATCTATAGCTTCCCTGTACAGACTCATGATTAAGTTCAGACTTATTTGATTTTTTCTCTTTGTTATCTTCCACATTGCTATTATTTTCCCCAGTGGGAATCTTGGTGGAGTTAACACAGATCACTTATAGACAAGGCTGCTTTTTACCTTTAGTAAATGCATCCATTCCAACGTTACCAGGGAGCTTTTCTGAGCATCCTCTTGGAAATTCATGCAGATGATATTTAGACATGCAGATCGGCATTCCTGTTTTGCATGAATGTTTGACCTTGGGCAGAACTGCTCGATACGCGATGAATGTGTTGTGGCTGCATTTAATCATTTGAGTCAGAGATGAAGCCATGAAAGAGAGAGAGAGAGAGAGAGAGAGAGAGAGAGAGAGAGAGAGGGAGAAGAAGAAACACCAGTGCACACAAACCCAATTCCCAGCCTCTGGATGGTAATGAACTTCTGAGAAATAGCTAATCAATAAATTGAACAAAAGAGTCAGGCAGCTCAGGCAGTTTGTCAGGGCCTTAATTACAATTGCAGAAATAAATTAGGAGGGGTGGGGTGGCGAGGTGCATTCTCCAGGCAAAACTAACCCTTTATTCTCATGGATTAACCTTTTCCAGGCAGCGTGAAATATTTCTTCTGATGCCGTTTGATGTCAGTGGCTGCACATTGGCACTGAGTGATGACCTTGCTGATGGACAGCAGAATATTTATCATTTCTTAGCATCCTTTTTCTTTGTAAAAATATATATATGCTGCCAACTTGAAGGAATCTAGATGCCGTTCAGTCAGACCTCGCATACACCAGGCGTATGTTTGGTATTTGATCAGTGCTGGCTCTTTCAGGCAGCATATGCACAACCAGATAATATTAATGCAACTGAACACCCCTTAAATTTATGCTCATGAATATACATGGGCAGCAAGGCAGGATTAAAGAATGGAGTTCCTGGGCAGTAGCACAGGGTCATTGTTGCCCCCCCCCCCAAATTCTAGACTCACTTCCAGAATGCCATGCACAATGTTTTGTTCACCCTGTGAGAGACCACACTTTCCACACAGAGCCCACTAGCCAGAGATAGGCAGGGTGGTATTCCCTTTTAAACAATCCCTTTTAAGCAACAAAGGAGCATTAAACCAAATGTTGCTTTTTATTTTATTTTTAAAATGGGCCACTTACATGCAGACAGGTAGACTTCCCTGATGTAGCCACTCAATGTGCAGCTGCCAAGGGTGGGGCCAGGTAGGCTGTGTAATGTCAAGAGTGGATCCAGCAGCACAGTGCCATGATGCTTTGGACATGAAGAGAGTACTTCATGTGATCAATGCTTGAAGGCTCTGGAGAACATTGCTTTCAGGAGAACACAGATAATGAAGTTCCACCAAGTTATGTAGTATTTCTCTGGCCCCAGCATTGACACTGCATACAACATGGCCTTCTTTGACTATGTGTGTATGCGCCCTTGCAAATGTTGTATGTGTGAATTCACATTTGGTGGAGTGGGGGGCTCTTGATAAAATCCACAACCATTCCTCCTGTCTCTCCATTGTTTTGGCCAAATTATGCCCCTCTGTAGCCTCCTAAAAAGGGTAGCTAAGAAAGCCACCATAAGAACGAAGCTAAGGGAGCAGAATTTGGGAACTGCAGGAGATCCAGTTTGGCGCTGTATTTATTACTAAAATTATTAAAAATCAATCAAACAAAAACTACAGCACAAGAAAAAGAAACCATCTACACTAAAGCAGGAATTGTATAAGAATATAAGAACACCATACTTCTAGATCACTTTATGACATTCAAAGCACTTCACATACATCACTCATGAATCTTGGTACTAGCCCTGTAAAGCAGGTTCTGTTATCTTGATTTTGTGGATAAAGACCAGAGGTGGAGAGAGT